CAGTGAAGCGTGACATCCAGGAGAGCGATGAGGAGGCTGTGCGGGTCAAAGAGCAGAGCATCCTTGAGCTGGGATCCCTGCTGGCCAAGACGGGCCAGGCTGCAGGTGAGACGGCCGGCGTTGCAGTTGCGAGGGGTGACCTGTAGGGTGCGCTATAAGCAGCCGGGGGGGGGGCGCGGTATAGGGGAAGCTTCTTCTAAATAGACGCTGTCATGGAAGCAGGTGATGATTCTTTCCGTGCTGAAAGGTGAGAGAGAAAAGGCCAACGTTTTGGCAGTGGGGCCTCTTCAGAAATGCTGACGGAGCGACCTAGTCCAGCATAATGTTATAACACACCTGGTCAGCCATGTGAGTCTGACTGTCCTTTTTTTGGGGTAACCACATGTGGGGATCCATTTAGTTCTTTTGTAGCGATATTAAAAGGTAATGCTGCAGCATTGTGATTTAGAACACCTTTCACCCCTATCATCCAGAAAAGGTATGAAGTCATATCTCCTTTAGGAGTCGTCTGGTGTTGGACTTGGGGGGGGGTTTGAAGCAGGCGAAGGGTTGAGTAAGGGACTGCTGCAGAAAGCTCTGTCTGGCGTTGACTAACGCCCCCCCCCCGTCTGTGTTCCCTAGAGCTGGGGGGCCTGCTGAAGTACGTGCGCCCCTTCCTGAACTCCATCAGCAAGGCCAAGGCGGCCCGCCTGGTGCGCTCCCTCCTGGACCTCTTCCTGGACATGGAGGCGGCCACGGGCCAGGAGGTGGAGCTGTGCCTGGAGTGCATCGAGTGGGCCAAGTCGGAGAAGAGGACCTTCCTGCGCCAGGCTCTGGAGGTGCGCTGCCCTTCTCCCGGTGCCCACACCTCATTCCTGTCGCCCTGGGGCTGCTAGCAGCATGCTGGGACGGTCAAGCAGTCCTGCGAGCTCAGGCAACATCCAGACTGAAATACATTATGTGACAATGTGGACATGCATTATAAATCCGTTTTAAGCAAGCACTAAGATAAGAGATTAGAG